TTCGGCTTTCGGCCACTTGGGCCGAAACATGTAGTTTCGGCCACTTGGGCCGAGACTTGGGACCCATGGCCGAAACTTCCAGTTTCGGCCTACACGAACCTGTACAGTTTCTGACCGTTGGCTCTTCAATTCTACTGTTACGGAATTAATTTTCTGAGTTAATTCCAATTTTAAATTTTGAATTGAAGGCCATGCTAATGGTGCTGTTACAGGAAGGTGAAGGGGTGCCCTTAAGTGCCTAATTAAAAGCTATTAAATCCTTCACCCCTATAAAAGGAGGAGTTGGGCAGTAGAGTTTTACACAGAAAATATAGAACACTAAAGTTCATCTTTTAGCCTCAAAACCTCTCTGCTTCTACTCTTTCTTTAAGCCATACTGTGTTCATAGTCATTGTCTTGCTCGCCGGATCCTTTGTTTGAATGCTCAAACATTGGATCATAGCAAGTTTTATCCTGGGAAGCCTAGGCCACAACGCTCCTAGCATCTACGGGAGGTGGCAAATAAGGTTTTAAGGAAAGAGTGCACACTTGACTCTTGCAAAAACCCAACACCAAACACTAGCCAATTTTCTTCAAATTTTTCTTCCCTTCTTTCCAGAAAATAATAGTCAATTTTTTATTTGATTATTATTTGTTTTCTACCAACGGTTCCTACATATAGTTCATCAGCCGCTGTCCTTCATGGCCCGGTTCTAAATATTCCGTTCAATCCCTCGAAATCGGCGGCCCCAGTAGGAGATCTATGTTGAACAGCAGGTAAACTGGGCGGATCTGGCCGTTGAAGAACGCGTCCGGCAGTTGGTGATTGTGGTCGCCGGGAAATTTCGAGCTCTGGTTATGCATTGCCAGACATGAGCGCAGAGGGATTGGAGAGACAAAATCTTGGAGGTGGTGGCTGTGCATTCTTGATTGGCTCTGGCTTTAATTAATTCTCAATAATTTCGCTAGTATTATTATTATTATTGCTGCGCAGAGTTTGTTGGTTGCAAGTGTTTTATTGTGGCGGAAAACACAAGCATTCGCCGGAAAACATGGTGGACTCGCCAGAGGAGAAAAAAGTAGTGAAATGACTCAAATACCCTCATTATTTTACTTATTAATATTTTTCGATCACAATTCATTGGTAATTTGGCTGGTGTGACCAAAATTGATAGAAATTGCATAGTCAAGGTACTAAATTAACATTTTTGAAAGTCAAAGTGTTGCAATTAACACAACTTCAATAGTCAGTTGATCAAAATTGAAATTTTCTCTTACTTATTTTTCAAATCTAATTTAGGTACATAATTTATGTTATAGGCATTGAATTTCACAACAAAAGATACAGAAATTCATAACGTAAAACACAATTACTAATTTGTTCCAAGTACACAATTCATACTCTGAACGTACAGAATTTCATAACTAGACACAAAAAATTACACCCTCCGTCCCACTTTATGTGTCTGGTTCGGTTAATGAGACTTGACTAAAATTATTTTTAATCTTTTTTGAAAGTTACTGGCTCTATTACATTGTAGTATCTGTTCATATACTTTCTCAACCTACTAAAACACAAAGAACCAATAACGCCTCCACTAAGGCTTGAACTCATAATCTTCCAAATGGAAGTCCAACCCGGATACCATTAGACCACATAGTCCTGGTGAAATTATTTTTAATCTAATTTTTCATTAAGTTTATAATAAATATACAAAATTTATATATTTAGAAACTAAACTAAAAGTACTACTCCCTCCGTCTCGAATTGATTGTCTTATTTGCTTTTTGCACGCTTTTTAAGAAATTAAAGTAAATGCTATGTATTTTCCAATTATGCCCTTCACTTTTTCACTTTTTCACTTTTGGAAATAAAAGCAAAAGTCATAAAGGTAATTTGGGAAAAAAAATAGAATGATGGTAATGTTCAATTTTGGAAAGATGACAACATTTTGGGACAAACTAAAAAGGAAAGTAAGACATGCACAATGGGAGAGAGGGAATATTAAACACAACAAATCAAATTTAAAAATAAGTAAAGAATACTAAAGAAAATAAACAAAGAAGAAAAATTGATTTGACCAATGAATAGTAAGTATGACGAATAAAATGTATGAGAGGAAGTATAACATAAAACATAAAGTGCAGACCATGATATAAGGATTGGTTTTCATTGCAATTCACGTGATTCACTAAAAAATTAAAAGCAAAACTCTCATGCAGATTTCAGTAACATATTACTCCATCTATTTTTGTTGACAAAATCACATTGGTTTTATAATTTAAACTACTCGATCAACACGATACCTATATTATTCTTATTTGATAACAACAATTAGATTTTAATAAAGATAACCTAAAAGCTTTTCATTTGCTCCATCATCATTATTTCTTGTCTGTTGTTATTATGCATTGATATACTCTATGAGTGTTGATCGATATCCTAACCTTAAATTAAAGTAGGTGTCATTTGTTCATAAAATTTTGAAAAATCAGTATACACATGTTAACAACAAATTTATTTTGTCTCCAGAAATATAAACAACAAATTTATTTATTTAAAAAAAAAAACAAATTTATGAAAATTTTGAGGACATAATTTGAAAAACATTGGCCCCAATTAACACATTTGGTTTGTTTGTTATGTTGTGTGAATTATAAATGTGACAATAAAATTATAAAAATAAATTTGTGAAATTTTTTATTAAATTACATGTCAAAAAAGATAAGAGTGATTTTTTTTTTTTTTTTGGTTTTTGTTGTTGTTGTTGTTTTTAATCCCAAAAAATCTAAGTTTCTTATCACTGGAATCTCTCACTCTCTCTCTCTCTCTCTCTCTCTCTCTCTCTCTCTCTCTCTCTATATATATATATATATATATATATATATATATATAGCAAAATGGTTGGCACAAAAATTTCCACCCAAAAATTTAAGGGTATTTTTGTAAATCAAACTCATAATAATAATAATAATAATAATAATAATAATAATAATAATAATAATAATAATAATAATAATAATAATAATAATAACGCTATTATAGATATAGTCTAACGTGTGGATATATATAGAATATAAATATATAATATTATATATTAAGTAGCATGTGTATATATATAATATAAATGTGTGTAACGTGTGTATATATAAAATATATGTAATATTTTTCCTCTATTATTTTGGAATCAAAATTTATTATGAGTAGAAGTTACCAATCTCTTCCTATGTCCTATTAATGACTATTAAATTATTTTAGAGTTAATACCCAAAATCGTCCTCGACTATAGTGGTTTTTCTCAATTTCGTCCTAAACGACTTTGGTGACCTAATATCGTCCCAGACTTTTGTGTTTCGCTCAATTTAGTCCTAGACTTTTGTGTTTTTGCTCAATTTAGTCCCTCATTTGTTATTCTGTCCATTTGGTGTTAAATAAATAGACAACTCAGTAATTTTAAGATTAGCATCTCTTTACTCATAGACATGTGAACTGCGAAATCTTTTTTTTTTTTTTTTTTACGAATTACTCCCAGAATTACTCCTAAAACTGCGAATATAAAATTTGATTTGCAGGTCCGGGAGTAATTCTGGGTGTAATTCGTACAAGAAAGAGGAATTTCGCACTTCACAAGTTGAAAGTAAAGAGAGACCAATATTGACATTACTGAATTGTCCCTTAATTTAACACCAATTTGACGGAATAACAAATGGAGGACTAAATTGAGCGAAACACAAAAGTCTGGGACGATATTAGGTCACCAAAGTCGTTTAGGACGAAATTGAGAAAAACCACTATAGTCGAGGACGATTTTGGGTATTAACTCAATTATTTTATAAAGATTAGTTTACTACCTATATAATTATGTAGATGAGAATTAGAAAATTTTGTCTTCTTCCCTTTTTCTCCATTGCCATGAACTTTTATACAATATAACGCAAATTATGCTGTAGACTCGTGTCCACAATGCATTGTGGACACGAGTCCAAAACGACGTCGTTTTTAGGGAGAACGCGGCATTTCAGTTATTTTTATTTTTTATTTTTTGATTTTGTCTCGCCGTTAACGGCGTTATTCGTTTGTGTGAATTATGAATGTACAGTTATGGAATTATGAATGTACTGTTAAGAAATTATGAATGTACAGTTATGGAATTATAGAATTATGAACACAGAGCTCTGACATTATGAACTTACAATTATGAACATATAGTGATAAAATTATGAACATAGAGCTCTAAAATTGTGAACATAGAGCTTTGAAAATTATGAATTTACAGTTATTGAATTATGAATGTACAGTTACGAAATTATGAATGTGGTGGAAGTATGAATGTACAGTTATGGAAGTATGAATGTACAGTTATGGAATTATGAACACATAGCTCTGGCATTATGAACTTACAATTATGAACATATAGTGATAAAATTATGAACATATACTCCTATAACGAAGCGGCCTGAAATTAAAAACAAAAAAACTGGAAGATAACAGTGCCACTAACGGCACCGTTACCGTGTCCACAATGCATGCTAGACACAGGTCCATAGCATAACGATTGCAATATAAAAATATATATTTTCTTCTTCTTTTTCTTCTTCAAGGTTGGAACTCTGACCTCCTTTCAACAAGTGCCTTGTAAGTGTTATTCCCTTATTTTATTTAGTATGGGTAGAATAAAAGTAGGGACCTTAACATTTTACAAGTGCTTATGTGTACCTTGTGTTGTTCTATTGTTGATGATGATGATGGTTGATAGAAGTGGAGGATTTGAACAATTGAGGCTTAGAGAAATTTGGGAAAATAAAATTTCACGGTAAGTGGATCTTCTTCTTTTTACTTTGCCCAAAGTATTTCCCAAAGTGATGGATATGTTAGTTGATAATTATATAATTGAATGTTTTGGCTTATAAAATGACTCAATTGATTACTTAAAAACATTTCTATACTTAAAACAAAAAAAATTCTTTTATTTATGAATTGTACGGTTAGTATTTTTTGAAAACAACCGAAACGGTTTATATTAGAGATATGCTGAAATAGTGTTAGATGGGATATAATCCCAATACATAACAGTAGCGTAATCAAAAGCTGCAGATGCTAAAGTATGAGTTACTAAATTATCTGATCTAGGTACGAAGCTAATAAAGCAGTAATCAAACGAAGTAATAATAGACCTGCAACTATCTATGGCATAGCCAACATAAGAGCGAACTGGTCCACTGTTAGACGACAAATAATTCTTTAGAGTCAGGCAATCCGTGTAAAGGCGTACACACCGGTGTCCACGATCCCTGAGCCATGATAGAACCTCCTTACACGCATAGGCCTCTGTCATTAAAGGCGAGAAGCAGTCCGGCAATGTAGTACTAAAAGCCGTAACATAACTCCCATTCTCGTCGCGTAATACCGCCCCAGCCGAGGCCTTGTTGGTTGTCGGATGATACGCTGCATCGAAGTGGCATTCTCGGATCTCAGCTGGCGCATCGTTGGCGGGATTGGCATGCAGCGACAGTGCGAAATCGGGACTGGGCGGGTGTGCGGCAGGTTGCGTCGTTCCGGCATGATGAACAAGTTGCCATGCGTGAATAGCACCCCTGGCCGTCGCTATTAACTTCTTCGGAGTGGGTAGATAGGCATCCCAAACGGCTCCATTCCTGGCCTTCCAGATATAGTATAGAATCGCTGTCGTGAACATAATTCCATTAATATCTAGAATATCCATCACTTCATCAAACCAAGAATGAAAAATATTTGTCACAATAATGGGGATTGGAAGGTGGGATTCATACCATATAGAACTTGCAAAAACACATGTAACCAAAGCATGCATAATATCCTCATGAGCAACACCACACTTAGCACATGTTGGGTCAATCCCCACTCTCTTTATATTCAGATTGGTGGTAGTAGGCAAGATATCACTTAAAGCTCTCCATAGAAATGTCTTCCGTTTTGGGGGGATTTTGAGGCTTCATAATGTTTTCCACTTATCAAAGGTGCCCTGTGTTGGGACATGATTTCCAACAATAAGTTTGTACCCATGCTTAACAGAGTAGCATCCTCTTGTGTCCCCATGCCAATACCATTTGTCCTCATAGTCTGGTGAGACTGGTATTTTAAAGATACGAGCAACATCAGTATGTACGAAAATATCTGTTAGGATTGGGTGATCCCATTGACCCGTGTCCTGATCAATTAATCCTACCACTTTTGCTCCTGCAAGTTGAGGGGGCATTTCAGTATGTATCATTGGGTCCTGGTCATCCTGGAGCCATGGGTGGTCCCATATTAATGTTGCCTGTCCATTCCCAATTCGGCGCCTGACCCCACTACAAATTAAATCCTTAGCTGCCATAATACTCCTCCAGCAGTAGCTAGGATTATTTCCCAAACAAGCCCCAGAAAAAGAGGGTTTGGGGTAATATCTGGCTTTGTATATCCTAGCTACCAATGATTCTAGCCTTGTGAGAAAACGCCATGCCTGTTTCCCCAACATGGCTAAATTGAAAGCTCTCAAATCTTTGAAACCCAAGCCACCACGGCTTTTTGGGATACATAATTTATCTCATGCTTTCCAGTGTATACCCCGTTCACCTCCACTGCCCCCACCAATATCTATTCATGGTTCGTTCAATAGCTGTGCAGACATAAATAGGCAGCAAAAACACACTCATTGAGAAAGTTGGCTGAGCCACACTTTTCAATAAAATCTCCTTACCCGCTTGGGAAAGCAATTTTTTATTCCAGGATCTTATTCTCTGTCTGATCTTATCCTCTATATATGCAAAGACTGCCCTTTTATTTCTTCCAATAAAAGAGGGGAGACCCAGATACTTTCCAAAATTTGGTGCCTGAACCACCCCCAAAAGTTGTGCCACTGCCTCCCTCTGGGCTTCACTTGTATTCTTGCTAAAACATATATTAGACTTCTGGTAACTTACCATCTGTCCAGATAAACTCTCATATCTTGACAAACAATCTTTTATTTCCCCAGCTTCCTGTATATTAGCTTTGAAAAACAAAAGACTGTCATCTGCAAAAAACAAATGAATAATAGGGGGGCTCCCCTTGCCACTCTACAGCTATGTATAGAACCCCTGTTTTGTGCCTGCTGCAATAATAAAGATAAACCTTCTGCACAGATAATAAACAAGTAGGGGGATAAAGGGTCCCCTTGCCTCAATCCTCGCGTGGGGAGAACCTGTTCACTGCGATTACCATTTACCAGAATTCTATAGGATACAGTTGTGACACAAACCATAATCAACTCAACCCATCTATTATCAAAACCCAGGGCCAGCAACATGCCACGCAAAAACGACCACTCCATACGATCATAGGCCTTAGCCATATCTAGCTTTAGAGCTCCCTAACCCCCAACACCACACGATTTTCTGTTTAAAAAATGCCCTGCCTCAGCAGCTATGAAAATGTTGCCTGTTATCAATCCATCCGGTATAAAGGGGCTTCATTCTGTTTGTCATCATCTTGGCCATGACCCTATACACCACATTACTCAATGCTATATGTCTTAGGTCAGATACTACCTCAGGAGTAGTTTTCTTAGGGATGAGAACAATATCTGTATCATTAAAATTTGGGGGCAATGTACGGGATTCCAGGAATCCAATAATAAAATTCGAAACATCCCCTCCTATCACTTCCCAAAAATGCTGATAAAAGTCCGGATTCATTTTATCCGGGCCAGGCGCTTTATCGGGAAACATAGAAAAAAGAGCAGCCTTGACTTCTCCCAATTCAAACGGACGAAGCAAAGACTCATTATGAGCTTGTGTAACCCGTAGAGTAATGTTTTCAAAAAAGTTTTCCCCACTCTCCGGCATGTTAGATTGGAAAATCATATTAAAATAATCAAGGATAACCCTTGACATGGCATTTCCCTCTACCCACTCCCCAGCATCATTTATCAATCTAGACAAAGAATTCTTTTTCTTACGGTGAGAGACATACCTGTGGAAAAATTTCGTGTTGGTGTCTGCATCTTTGAGCCAGTGCTGTTTGGCTCTTTGTTTCCAGTATGCGTCATCCTGGGTTTCAAGGCGACCCAGGCGTTTTTGGTATTCAGCAAGAGAGGTCGGATCAGAACATCCTCTTAACCGCAGCTGCTCCTTCTTTAGATTCATAATCTGCTCCCCAAACTTATGAAAACGGTCCCTTCCCCACTGGGCTAGGCGACCTCCGCAGTAATCAATACAATCCTGCAGCCCCATACCCCTTCCCTCATCTCAAGATTTCTCCACCACCTCCCTACACCCCTCATCATGTAGCTAGGCCATCTCAAACCGGAAATCCCTCCTCCCATTCCTTCCCTGACTAAAACCACATATACTCAGAAATAATGTCGAATGGTTAGACTTTCGGGTCAAGAGATTGGTTACCCGTGCCTGTGGAATCATACTACGCCATTCCTCCGTAACTAAGACCTTGTCCAACTTTTCCTAGATCCAGTTCACCGTACCCGGACTCTTTTCCCATATAAACTGGTATCCCTCCATATGCATTTGAGATAAACCACATTCCTCAATAGTATCTCCAAAACCGCGAAGGAGACTACTTGGATGCGGATTTCTCCCTCTTTTCTCATGTTGATAGAGGAGATCATTAAAATCACCCACCATAACCCACGGAAGATGAGACCGCGGTGCAAGTGACTTAATAAGCTCCCACGACTCAGTTCTTCTGTCACGCTGGGGAAAGCCATAAAAACACGTCATTCGCCAATCTGCTAAACCATCCATGCTAACTTGAATATCAATATGATTCTTTGAGTAACTTAAAAGCCTTGCCGTATTATTTAAAAATTGTACGGTTAGTATGTTTTGCTTAAAAAATTATTATTATTATTATTATTATTATTATTATTATTATATAAAATATATTTTATCTTTATAAATATGTAGTATTAAAAAATATAAACATAAGTGAAAATCTTCTGATTTCTTTCTTTAGATTCATAATCCTAACCTAACAATCCCTGTTGATACACTCCTTACAGGCACATACGATTCCATTAATGGGGCCAAGTAACTCAGCGTCCCCATTGATCCAATCCACAACCTCTTTTGCATCAGTATGGATTCAAAGTTTTCTGACCTTCCTATCCCAAGCCCATTGAAGGGCAAAATACATCGCCCTTCTGCCATCAACGCATCCAGTCCAATGTGGAGAGACGGAGGAGAGTTCTCCCTGTTGATGGCGCATGTGTCTTCTGCCCCGAGGTTGATGAAGATGCTGATCATATTGTAAGGAAATGCTGGAAGGCTAGGGAAGTCTGGGAGCACTTGATTCCTATCTATAACCGCATGCAATGGGAAGGTGGCGACTTCGTGGCATGGATCCTGGGCAACATTGCGATGAAGTCGAACTGGAGTGTGTTCTTTGCTACAACAACATATCTCCAGAGATTTGTTTCAATTGGGCAAAGGACACGATTCAATTCGGTTGTTGTTACAATTATGTAGTGGTAAAGATGTAAAAATACTTTTTTTTTTTAAAGTTATTTCTTGTGGAGAAATTCTGTGTATTTTTTTACATTAATGATTTACATGAATTTTTCATATTTTATTTTTATTTGTAATTATGAAATTAATTACTATATATAAAAATAGTCTATTAAAAGGCGAGATATTTATTTATATAATAATTATTTTCATATGAACGTATGTAACTGTCAATTCCAGAATTACATATAGGTATAATAGGATAACATTATATTTGTATATTATTATATACATATATATTATTCCAAAAAAATATACACATATATTGTACATCATATATAGTTATTAGGATCAAATTTAGGAATGATATATATAATTGGGTAGAATAATTTAATTATATATATTAATTTAAAAATAACCTATTAAAATGTTTGGAATGATATAATAAATTATTATAAAATTATTTGGCAGATTGAAATGTCACAAAAGTATCCCTGCAATTAGAAATTTTTATTTGTAATTATGAAATTAATTACCATATATAAAAATATAAAAATATAATATTAAAAGGAAGGATATTTATTTATATACTAATAATTATTTCCATATGAACGTATGTAACTGTTAATTTCATAATTACATATAGGTATAATATGATAATACTATATTTATATGCTTATATATCGTACATCGTATATAGTTATTATGATCGTATTTAGGAATGATATATATAATTGAGTAGCATAATTTAATTATATATATTAATTTAAAAATAACCTAATAAAATGTTTGAAATGATGTAATAAATTATTTTAAAATTATTTGATAGATTGAAATGTCATAAAAGTCTCCCTGCAATTAAGAATTTTTATTTGTAATTGTGAAATTAATTATCATTACCATATATAAAAATAGTATATTAAAAGGCAAGATATTTATTTATATAATAATTATTTCCATATGAATGTATGTAACCGTCAATTCCATTATTTAAAATATGCATAATATACTTTAACAATGTAAACAAAAAAAAAATAACATTAACTACTACAAATTTATAGATTGTGCATCGCACGAGTATCATACTAGTTTGAACATATAACCCTTATTTAAAATGACTAGTTTTTTACGCGCATTGCGCGATTGGGATAATGCCCAATGCTTTTTTTTTACAACTAGTAATTTAATAAGAGTAAAATAGAGTACTAATTATGCCAACTTTGATTGGGATGAGGTTCGAACCTAAGACCTTTTTTTATTGAAATCAATGAGTAAGTTAACGGTGAACTAACAGCAATTCTTAAAATTTTAACGGAATTAGTAACGGTGTGTGGGTATTTTAGGAAATTTTAGTGTAAAATTTAAATCTGATCAATCTTTTAATCAATCTGAGTCATTCATTTGATTAAAATCTATGACCGCCATTTTTTCTACCCATTATAGGCCTAACTCTCTTGGGCTCTTATTAGTATACTAGTTTTTTTTTACGCGCATTGCGCGATTGGGATAATGCCCAATGCTTTTTTTTTTTTTTTTTAAATAAGTACTTTAAAGTATATTAAGACAGGATTATATTGAAATTGTTCATGCATAGATAATTGAAGGTTGAATTTGTCTATTTAAATAGGTAATTCTTCTCCCAAAGGTTGAGTCCCCAACCCCAAGGGTCCCCCCACACTCCGACCCGACAGAGCATTGTGGGAAGTTGTAAATCACGGTGACTCAATGGTTCAGCAGACAGGGCCAAATGCTGATACGCACAAGGAATCTGCCCACTTTGGACATATATAATTCCCGCACTGCCGCCGCCGAGGTTCAAACCTTCGTCTCTTCTCCCAAATACTACCCACTAAACCATTGAACTAAGCCCGTGCGGGTTAAATAGGTAATTCTAAGTTTACAAATGCAAGATAATATAGTCAAGATTGATTATAATTGTCAATAAAATAATTGTATAGGTATGGTTGAAACCAAATACGGGACATAAGGGAGAATAAATAAAAATTAGGACATAGAATATTAAATATATACTAATATTGTTTGAGGAGATTCCGACATTAGGATTTGTGGTTAAGTTATATTAAGACTTTAATATTAGAATTAGATTAATGGTGTAGTTATAATTCTATATTAGACTTTAATATTAGAATTAGACTAACGGTGAATTAACGAAAAAGTTAAATAGATAATCATATAATTAAGGATAAATTAGAAAATCTTAAAAGAAAAAATTAAAACCTGAACAATATGAACCATTCATTTGATTTAATAATTTGGCGGTCATTTTTTCTACCCAATGTTAATAATTAAATAAATTCGCTGGTCAAATCCGCTAGTATAATCCGCTAACGCTAATCGCTAACTGCTGATTGTATAACAAGGACATTGCGAGGTAGTTCTCACTTCAATTTGTTGTGTGATTTGAATACTCTCGTTGTCACAAAATCTCTCAAGTAGTTAATATGGTTGGCTTTATTAATTATATTTTTTTAATTTTTTCATGGTATTAATAAAATACTTGGTAAATAAATATATAGCATTATTTTGTATTATAACTTTGATATTTAATTAGAAAAATAGTGCACAAAAAAGATAATAGATAATGTAGTGAATATAATAAATTAATGAATTTGAATTAAAAATTTTTACATTTGAGAAAAATAAAGACAATATAAGTAATGAAAATATTTCTTTTAATTAATTTATTGATAATTAATAATTTTTTTTTCACTGAATAAAGACATTGTAAGGATAATGTAGCGAATATAATCAATTAATAAATTTGAATATAAAGAATTTTTATATTAAAGAAAAATAAAGACAATATAACTAATAAAATTATTTCTCTTATTTAATTGATTGATAATGAATAATTTTTTTTTTTTTGAAT